GGCTGCGGGAAGGCCGGGCCACCCATCCCCAGGTTGTCCCCGTCCTCTCCCCACAGTCCTGCAGAGCCAGTCGGTGCGGGCGCTGGCCCAGTGGCTGGAGAGCCAGGAGGACGCCATGCGCCAGCTGCGGGCAGCCAGCGGGCAGCTCTGGGCTCGCCTCAACGCCAGCGCCGAGCCCAGCGGGCACCGGTGAGCCGCTCCCAGCCCTGCCTCAGGCACCGGGCCACCACGGGAAGGGGCACCGAAGGGCGGGAGGGGGGAGCGGACAGCCCTACCAGCCCCCCATCCCGCTCGAACCTGGCAGCATTGCCCCACGGGGCACAGGGGGTGCGGGAGGCAATCCTGGCCCCTGCCCCAGGCTGCGAGAGAAAGGGACATGACTGCAAGGACAGGCACCCACCCCAGTGACAGCCCTTCCTCTTAACAACAAGGCAGAAGGCACCCTCCAATTAGCCTTTTAATTACCTCCTGTAATCAAAGTCTTAGAAAATCACCACCATAGATACATTCCCGGGGTGGCAGGCACTCCCAGCTGGTGCAGCCCCATGCCCACCTGGGCAGTAGCCCCCAGGGCTGCACAGGCAGCCCCGGGATTTGCCTGCTGTGCCACCCCCCTGTAATTAATTTCCCACAAGAGGACTATTTCATATAAAGCATTTGGCTGGAAAAGGGCTCAGAGCGGGCAGCTGGCAGGGCTGGGCAGAGCCTGCCACCCCATGCCGCTCTGCCACCGCCCGTGGGGGCCAGGCTGGCTGCGGAGACGGGGGCTGTGCCCAGTGTGGCAGGGGGGACCTGGGGAAGCACTCCTGCCGCAGGCACAGACACCAGGGCCAGCTGCCCCGCAGCCCTGCACAGCTCTGCCCTCCCGCCCAGCCCTTCGGGCTGTGCCAGGCCACCCTGATGCCCCTGTGGGACCGGGGAGGGAGGACATGAGCCCGGCCTCTGAAAGGGGCTGCAGGAGCCCCGTATGACCCCCTCCCGCAGTGCCACGCAGAGCCCCAGCCACAGAGCAGGCACACAGCAGCACACCGCCACCTCCCCCCTGCTCTCCTTTTATCCTTTTTTTTTTGGTTAAAAAAATAAAAGAGGGGGCAGCCCCTGGTGGGGCAGCTCCAGGCATTAAATACTCTGCTGTACATGAATAAAAGCCCGAGGGCTGGGGGCACCTGCCCCTCACAGTGCTGGGTCTGCAGTCCAGGTGGGCTGGGGGCTCTGCCCCCCCTCTGCCCGTCACAGCACATCCGCCCGCTTGTCCCGCACCCGGCTCCGGGCTTTCGTGCGGGCTTTGAAGGCAGCCGAGTTGTAGAGGTGCTGGGAGGGGAGGGAAGGAGAGATGGGTTAGGGGCTGCCCCTCTGCCCACCTCTCCACTGGCGCCCACCACATGCAGGCACTCGGCTAGAGCTGGCAGCGGCACGGGAGAGGACTGTGGGCACAAGTCTGGGTGGCGGCACCCACCTTCTCGAAGCGGGAGACCTTGCTGGCTTTCAGAGCAGCCGCATCCAGCACCAAGGGAGGCCCGAGGCCGAAGATCTCCCGTAGCAGCTCATTGTTCTGCGGAAGCAGGGGCCTGTCAGCAGCTGCCAGCACTGGTCCAGCACCCCCCAGTGCGGCTACCCGGCCCCTACCTGGAGGTGGTGGCGGATGCCGGAGCCCAGCACCTCTTTAAAGGCTTGGTAGGTCCGCTGGCGTGCCCAGCTGTCCAGGTACATGCACTCCAGGCCAAATCGGATGGTTTCCTCCTGGTACTCCCCGCTCTGAGCGGAGAGAGGGGCATCAGCAATAACCTGGGCACCAGCCCTGTGCGTCCCCTGGCTCTCAGCGGAGGAGAATCACCAGGCAGCTGGGCAGCAGCTGCACGGCCACAGCCTCGGCAGGGAAGGGCACCGCCAGCCTCCAGTACCTCGATGAAGTGCAGGATGTCCCGGAAGATGGAGCGCTGCTTCCGTCGGTCTGTCTTGGCTCGGTACTTGCTGCTCTCTGTAGCCAAAACCTTGAGCTGGGCTCGCAGGAACTCTGTATCTTGGTGGCACAAGTCCTCCTGCCAAAAAAACAGGGGGGGTTGGAGGGGATGCGGCTCCATGCACTGCCCACTGCTGCCATCGCCAGGACAGCGCTGGGGGGACCACCGGGGCCAGCCCCTCTGCCTGGGCACCTGCTGGTGACGCCAGTCTGGTGCATCCCAACGCCGTCAGTGCCAGCTTAGCTGGGGCACAGGCAGGGTGCCGGTGCCAGCAGCTCCCTGCTGCTCTGCTGCCCGCCCACCGGCTGCCTTCTGCTGCTGCAGCACCCCACCATACCTCCACGTCCTGGGCCAGCTCGAAGACCAGCGCGATGGCTTCCCCAGCCAGGATGCGGAGCGTGACACTGCTGCTGGACAGCAGCGGGGGCAGCTTCAGCCAGTGACTGGGACAGGAAGGCAGGAGGGCAGTCGGGGGGCCAGGCATCATCCCAGAGGCTCCCCCCTCTGCAGCCGGCTGCCCCACACCAGGCCCTGCACCCCCCGCACCCCACTCACTTGTCCAAGACACTCTTGATGTGGGAGGGGGGGCAGATGGTGAGGAGCAGGGACCACGACTGGAGCGCACTGCAGTGCAGAGGGCCATGGTGGGCAGGTGCCGAGCCCCCCTCACCTGCGCTGGGGGAGCTGAAGACACCCTCCAAGCAGGACAGGCATGAGACCAGGTCCTGGAGAGGGGAAACCCACTGTCAGACCACAGCTGCCAGGAAGATGCCACAGTGAAGCTGTGCACTGGGGACCGAAGGGCACCCACCCTGCCCAGGAGCACCAGGACCTCCCCAGGGCAGGAGAGACTCCTCCACTCAGGACACCCCATCTCTGCAAGGTGGGATTCCCCCCCTCAGCTCAGCTGCACACTGCCCAGGTAAGGGGCCTGGGCTGTCACTGATTTCCCTGTGCCCCTTCCCCAGCTCAGCTCCAAGCTGCCCTGGCACCATGGGCTGAGGGTGGGTGGCATGGCAGCCCCTGGGATGCCCTCTGGCAGGGGTACGGACAACACCCGGGCACAGTTACCTCGAGGTCAGCAGCGGCAATGTAGCAACACATGCCCAGGGCCGTGGCACACTGGCGAGAGACGTGAGGAAAAGGCAGTTAGAGGAGGCAGTGCCAGGCCAGATCCAGCACCCAGCCAAGGGGAAGCAGGGTTAGAGTGCCCCTGCTTTACCCCACTGCTCCCCACAGCACCCAATCCTGCTGCCCTCCCGTGACTGCAGAGGCCCGCAAAGGTATTGCCTGGGCTCTCCCCACCACCAAGGTGCCCCCCACACCCAGGAGAAAGGGGGCCAGGCCTTACGCTCTGCCGGGCGCTGGGGCTGGCTGTGCTGTCTGTCAGGACGCTGACAAGCAGGGGCTTCAGGCTGCGAAACACCTCTTCCGCCTCCGGGCCAGAGCCCATCTGGAGGCAGAGGAGGGTGAGGACGGTGCCCGCCAGCGCCTGTTCCTCCCCTTTACCTGCAGGCAGCACGAGAGACCTCCCTCAGACACCGGTCACCGGTCCCGCCACCCCAGCCCCGGCACCTGCCTGCGCCCAGACCTTTCTTGAGACACTTCTCCAGGGAGTCGGTGAGAGTGAGGCGGCGCTCCAGCAGGAACTCGGAGAGGGTTTTGGAGGAGAAGGCCAGGCGCAGGCTCTGCAGTGCCGCCTGCCGCGTCTTGGCGCTGCAAGAGATCGCGGGAGGTCACGGGGTGGGACGGCCCGGGACGGGGCACGTCCCTGGCCCTGGCTAGCAGTGCCAGCAGGGACCGGGCAGCGGGCCCACGGCGGGGTGACAGCCGCTCCTCACCTCTTGTCCAGGAGGTTGTCCATGTGCTCCTTCAGCCTGTCCTCCACCTCCTCCTCCTGGCCTTGCTCGCTTGCCGCCTCGCTCCCTGCCGGGGCGGCACCCATGTCACAGAGGTGCCCGGGCGCGAAGGCGGGGGGCCCCACGGCTAGGAGACACGGCAGCAGCACCGCCACCCACGGGGGGGAACACGAAGGGGGCAGCGGGGCAGCCCCCCGGGGCTCACCTGCGCCCTCCTCGGCGGGGCTGGCCCCCTCGCTGGCGCTGCTGCAGTGGCTCAGCACCTCGCTGCCGGCCTCCTCCTCGCTGACGGGCGAGCCCGCCCGGCCGCTGCCGGGGCCACCTGCGGGGGAGG